AGAATTTTAATTTTTTATTATAGGAATTAGAACTTATAATACACACTTTTTCTTTATTATTAATATAAACTTAATGTAACTGATTTTATATTTCCTAATATCCATTAACTCATTTAATGATTTACAAAGTTAAAATCTTTTAAGGCATTGTAAGTACATTATTGTCCTATTTCAACATGGGATGAAAACTTCCAGAGAGATGTAATCATAAAGAGGGTACCTAAGAAATCTGTAAATACACGGCCGTTGGAGAAACGACCGGCCGGCACACCAGGAAATGTGATTCCATACGGATCATTCCAAGAATAGGCTTGAAAATCGAGGTTGCCGGTATCTGCATACGAATCACCAAATACAAAGAGCTTGTTGGGTCTCATAGCCAAGGCAAGGCTATCTGTCGGCAGCTGCACCAACTGCTCATGACCTGAGTTCAGTGCCAAGAAACAAGAGATTAGTTTTTAGAGGTTCCAAGAAGTAAATAAAAGGAATCAAATCATCATATAAATGCATGAAGAGATGGTTGAAGTCTCACTATTACCTGAGACAAAGGAGAGGAGAAGGAAAGAAAATATGGAGAAGTAATTGTGTGCTTCCATGAAAGGATATCGATGCACAGGTTTATGATCTAAACAAAGGGAATTCTACGCGAAGAAGAGAGGAAGATTTCATGCGTGTATATAATGGAAATTTCTGTCCTTCATAGGCCGGCCGGTAGCTGAGCATTTTTACTGGCAGTGATGAGGCCACCAGTACGGTCGTTCAAGCATTGAATGATTGAGATATATTATATTATTACATGTGATTTTACCCTTTTTTTTTTTTCTTTTTTACAGTATAGATATTACTTCATTGGTTTCACAATATATAACTCTTGTTTCATTTTATTTGTTATACTTTTAGTCTTTTAATTATTATAATTATAAAAATAATTATAAAGATAGATAAAAATATATTTTTACTAATAAAATTTTTATGTTTACTTTTATTAATAAGGATAGTTAAGAAGAAGAGATGCAATCTTTTTTAAAATAGAGGGAATATTAATAAGGATTAAATTTAAAAAAATTTAAAATTATGTTGAAAAATTAAAAATTGATAGATAAATTGAACTTTAACTTTTCATAAAAAGTGTGACAAATACAACAGATTTTTGGTAGTATATCTTTTTCTTTTTCTTTTTTTAAGTTTTGAACAATCAATTTGTCTCTCAATTAATTTTGATTTATTTGATCAAAACTAATTTATTTTTAGATAATTTTATAGTCACACCTTTTACATAAGTTTAGTGCATTAAAATTTTTTTTGATGAAACTCATAAAGTGACACTTGTTCATTAGTTTTACATTTTTAAATGTGCACTTGAATTAAAGATTAGAATTATTGTTACGATTAAAGGTGTGTTTTGTAATTTTTGTTTGATTGATTTTATTAATTTATAATTTTTTTAAAACAACTACTTAAGATATTTGAAAACATTAAACTATGATATAATTTTAAATTGATATCAACTCTTCAATCATGCATTAGCTAACAACTGCAGTTACCAATTTATTAGAAACAGTCAAACCAAGCATTCCCCTAGGTGGCCTGCGTGGCCACGTGGCTCAGCAGCAAAGTGGAATGCACCCTTTGGTCTTGAGGTCGAATCCTCTCAGTGTAGAACAGATGCTAACTTAACCATATAATTTCCATTGTCAAAAAAAGAAAAAAAAGTCAAACCAAATAGAACATATTTAACGTATTTTATATTTTTTAATTTTACTTCTAATTATTGTTAAGGAAAATATAAAGGAAAATGTATGTGTAGACTACCAGAAGAAGTGGTTTTTAGAGATCTGGGCCTTGTTGCTTTTGAGCCAATATGGGCCTTATTTCTTCCCAAAAGAAAATAGATTGGGCCAAATAGAGTTTAAGTTTTGAACAAAAGTGGGGCGAGATGGGTGGAGTAGCCAACTAGCCATTTTATAAAGCTATTGGGCCATTACATGTTGAATTTATTCATTTATTTATTTAACAAAAGCAATTACTTATTATAAGGTTAAATATGTAATTTGATCTTTAAACTATTGTACAGATTTTAGATTTGGTCCCTAAACTAAAAAATTTTTTGATTTGGTCTCTGAAATATTGTACAAACCCCCGATTTAGTCATTACTGTTTACCAATTTACCTCAAATTAGTCTTTTCATACAAAAAAATGCTGACGTGTCTAGCATTTAATAGCAAAAAATAGTAACTTAACAGTAAAAAACAGTAATTTAACGGTCACGTGTCACGTTAATAATGAGATACATCAGTTGTTTTTGTATAGAAGGATGAACTTGGGGTAAATTGGTAAACAGTAAGAACCAAATAGGGGATTTGTATAATAATTCAGGGACCAAATTAGAGATTTTTTTAGTTTAGAGACCAAATTAGGGTCCGTACAATAATTTAGAGATCAAATTAGAGATTTAAGTTATTTTGGTTTTAATAAGGGTGAAGGAGGGAGAGCTAGGAGTCGAATAGAATACGCTCCAGCAACGTTTCCACTTATGGAATACCACTTGTGGAAGAGAGTGCTAGCACTACACCCATCTGGAGAACACATGTTGAATTTATTTATGTTGGTAAATATATATGGAATTTTATGTTTTGAGCTAACTTTGTCTTTAGAATCTTAGTTGAACAGGTACTCAAGGCTTTTCTTCTTTTTTTTTTAGACTTATTATAATTTTTGTAAAAATGTTGCGTTAGAAATTGTTTTATATAAGAATTGAATGATAAAATCATATAAAATAATTAAATAAATTTTTAAAGTTTCAAAATTTAACCATTAAAGTTTTATTTAAAAATAATATATGTGTAAATTTCAGCAGGTTCTTAAACTACTCCATCTCCCAAATCTTCGGTAAATGTTTGGGGTGCGAATATAATCCTGTTAACTTTTTTTCCATTTTTTAAAAAATTTTCCCCTATCACCATGTTTCCATTTGAGCAAAAAAAAAAAAAAAAAAACCTGTTAACTTTTTTTCCATTTTTTAAAAAATTTTCCCCTATCACCATGTTTCCATTTGAGCGAAAAAAAAAAGAAGGAAAATGTAACGTATTTGTGACTTTAACCTTTTAAGAATTGAAAACAACTTAAATAAGAAAAAGAGTTCGGTTGAAGCCGTAAACATGAGGGCAGGGTGAATAAAAGAATGAGAAATAGTTCTTTAAGTAATCTAAAATTTAAAAATATATATATATAAAATATAAAAGCATTTCTCACAAAATTATGTTTAGCCTAACTTTAACCTTTTATACCGAATTGAATATAACATACATAGTTTTCATACCTTCACATCATTATTTATAAAAATTTACAACCAACAAGAAAAACCTTTGTTCCTAATTAACACAATCTTACATTTTCCTACAAGAAAACAACCAAAACTTGAAAAAAATAAGAAGAAGAAGAAGAAGAAGAAGAAGAAGAAAGGTAGACTATGTAGTCTACATGTTGTTGAAGGGAGTAATCTTGATAACCAGACCCGGAAAAACATCATCTGGGTCATGAATATGTGGATTCTCCTCAACAATGAAGGGATCCCCGCACTTCTCACTGATAGTCTGCAGAGTCTCCCCTTCCCCGACCACATAAATCTCATCACACGGCTTCTTCACCATCATCATCCTCCTCCTCCTCTGAATCCCACCCACAAACTCCTCCTCGCTCGACTCGCAGCAGCTCAAAACCAGCATCAGCGCCATCAATACAGCAAAGTAACAGCAAACCTTCTCCGCCATTGCAATCGACGACGAATGATAAACTGATTTTCCCATTTTTAGTGATCAAATTGTAACGCTTTTGTGGTGAATATAAAGGGGGTGGTTTAAGGTGTTCTTTAGTGGGCGCAGTATGTGGCGGGAGTGGAAACGGTTTATCTGATTGAGGTTAGGTAACTGTCTTCCAG